CACATTCAGAAGTTCAAATCATGTTTAGAACCTAATTTGGATGAAAGATTCAATTACCATACCATTGTTACAAACAAGAACATTATATATTTGGGATTATAAGCACTGCCTTAACCTGTGTATACAGGACACACAAAAGTGTGTTTTCTCATTCACATCATATGGACAGCATGCAGCTGTGGAGGCTGCACTACCACAGATTAAAGGCTGGCTGCAGGTGCTGAGGTTTAGGTAGTGACCATTCAGATCAGAGTCAGCTGTTTAAACCAGCTGGAGGGAAACTGGCAACTCAGATGAGAGACTCATGTGAGGCTCATTCTGCTTTCTGACTGGATAATCATCTTTTGAGCCAAACCACCAAATTATCACATAAACATCAATGTTTTTGTAATGAAGAATAAATCAGCATTACAATTGTTACCATTTGTACCAATGGTTACCTCATATGTGGGTAGTAGTTAGGTCATGTTTATGGGATTTAAAATCAAAATCTCAAACATACGGTTCTTGTAATGTCTCTCTTCAATGCATCACTGATGACGTCTCTACGTGCCAAATCTGCACCATTTATCTAGTCAGTAAACTAATCAGCCCACCTAGTTATTTGTGTTTCTATTTAAGTTTTGTTTGGTTGAAATCAGCACAAAACCCACAATTCCAAATCAACAATCTCCTTTGTTTTTGGTGACATCACTTGGCCTTTCTCAGACTAACTGAAAACACTCTTGACAAGTTTGGCAAATAAACAAAATGGTCGCCCCCCCACTCCACTTTGAAGGGTGCTCTTGTCTTGTGTGGAATCACTCTTCAGCCGAAGCCATTATTATTTCTGCATGTCCATGGAGGATGAGTTTGGCACCAGTTTGGCATTTGTGATGAGACTGAACTTTAGTTTTTTAAAATGCCCTCCCACACAACCCAGCGTTAGTTTGTGTTGTAGCACATAAGCTAACTGGAATAGATTTGCACATTTTCACTTGACCGTCAGATGAACAAAAACAACAATGAACAACAAATGTGTTAAACGTACATAGTCTCTTCATTACCGAGTGCTAAAAATCATATTTGTTTTGTTTTTGGGTCTGGTGTAGGCGTAAATTCATCCACATAATAGGATCTCTGTAAACTGAAAGACAAAACCGAAAGGACAGTGTATACATATTTTAATACGTGATTTTTATTCTAAAGTGTTCAAAAGCAGTTCAAAATATAGAAATGAGTTACTAAATAAATTTAAAGAATTATTTTGTTTAAGAATTAAAGATGATGACTGATATACTGGTTCAATATTTCAATTTTAATGTTCAATATTTTGACTTTTTAGAATATCACTTATCTCCAACACAGGCCCAGATTTAGTTTTTGTCCATCTGCCAGGGGTGTAGTGGGCGTGGTACGTGGGGGTACACCATCCATCCATTTCTCCCAACATGAGGTATAAAAAATAACAAATATAAAGTAGCTACAACTTAAATGTCAAACCAGAGTGATTGGCAATGGTGAAAACAAACTGCATAGGCTCATGAAGGGACCAGGACTGAACCAGGACTGAACCAGAACTAAACCAGGAGAAGTAAACCAGGACTAAATCAGGAGATGTAAACCAGGACTAAATCAGGAGAACTAAACCAGGAGAAGTAAACCTGGACTAAACCAGGACTAAAACAGGACTAAACCAGGTCTAAACCAGGATTAACACAGGACTAAACCAGGTCTAAACCAGGAATAAACCATGACTAAAAGAGGACTACACCAGGTCTAAACCAGGACTAAAACATGACTAAACTAGGACTAAACCAGGTCTAAACCAGGACTAAACCAGTACTAAAAGAGGACTAAAACAGAAGTAAACCAAGTCTAAACCAGGAAAAACTAGAACTGAACCAGGAGTGTCAGGCCGGGCTTGGAGGCTGCGCCCATGTAGAGCGTCGGGTGACCACAGGTGAAATGACCAGTGCAGAGCTCCACCCCCACAGGGCAACCATCACCTAATCGCGCTTTGCCGACACCCTGCTCCACGGACCCGGTTCTCCCTCTCTCTCAAGTCCAAGATTAGTCCTGGTTTAGTCCTGGTTTATGTTTAGACCTGGTTTAGTCGTGGTTTAGACTTGGTTTATACCTGGTTTAGTTCTGGTTTAAAGCTAGTTTAGTCCTGTTTTAGCGCTGTTCAGTCCTCGTTTAGTCTTCCTGGTTCAGTCCTGATTTAGTTCTCCTGGTTCAGTCCTGGTTCAGTCCTGGTTTAGTCCCGGTTCAGTCCTGGTTTAGTCCCAGTTCAGTTCTGGGTTAGTCCTGCTTCAGTCCTTATAGGTTTGTGGCAACATAAAGGCTGTGGTGAGTTTGTGGTAAATATAAAGGTGCATTGTGTAACTTTTCTGGGGGAGGGTCCGTTATGGGGGGTCCGGCATGAAACCTGTATTGCGTTTCTATCTCCATGGAGACCAAAGTAGACCAAGTTACAGGTCAGATCTGTGGAGAGACAACCCCTCAGCAGTCAGAATGCTTGTTTTTCTATTGATTTTGAGCTATAAAACCATGTGTAATTGAATAAATAAGTCTTTATTTAATTATATAGCGCTTTTCACAGACATTTTTTGTCCCCAAAGATGCTTTACAAAGCATTATTCAGCATTATTCATTCAGCATTATTCATTGTCTCTATACCTGGTGATGGTAAGCTACTATTGTAGCCACAGCTTCCCTGGGGCAGACTGACAGAAGTGCGACATTAAACAGCTCTACTTTAAATGTAAAGTAGAGCTGTTTAATGTCCTGTGGAACATTTTAGGCAGAGCAGTGACATTTCCATAGAACCGACACCCTGCCAAAGAGTTACACAGTGCACCTAACTAAGTAAATAAGTGATAATTGCATAAAACATCTTTAATAGGTTTGTGCCAATAACGGCTGTGGGTGAGGTTGTAGTAAATTTAAATGACATAATTTAAGCAAAATAATCTACATATATCAGCCCAAAAATATCAGCAGAACCTACAGGCCATTGGTTTCTCTGGTATTTAAACAATCAGCCATGAAAATAAATATCGGTTGATCTCTAATAAGAATGAAAAGGCTAAAAAACACTGTTACCAAGCAGCAGTAATGAATGAATAAATATTGCATAAAGTAGTCATCAATAAACATGACCGTGCTTCTTCCCCAGTCGTAGCAACAGGAAGTAACGGACCAAAGTAACAGTTTCGTTAATAAATGAATAAATTTGGTGATTAATGATGGCTCAAAACCAGTTAAAAATGATTAGCATTTGTGAACACACTCCACAATGACACACAGACCATCCGCACTAGCAGTAACGTTGTCATTTTCAAGTATTTAAGCAATAGAAGTACTGGCAGATGTACAGTACACACTCGTATACAGTTTTGGTAGTACAGCTTACAGTGGCAGATGGCAGTGGCTCAGTTGGTAGAAATGTTTGCATGATAAACTTAAGGTTGACGGTTTAATGGTCCATTGTTTCTGGGCAAGGCACATGACCACTAACTCTCTTCGACTGCAAGTGTGAATGGTTCCTTGTTTTTTAGGCGCTTTTATTTGTATCATTTATCACTGAGCAACTCCACAGAAGAAGTGAAGTAGTTTTATAGTAGTAACCCAACTTTTGTATTGCCGTAGTTGTATAGTACTTTCTACTTACTTTTTTTCTAATTACTTACTTACTTGAGTAGTTACCATCAAAATTTTATAGTATTGTTATAGTTTTAATATACTAGAGAAGAGCCAGTATTGCAGTATAAGCAACCCCACTTTTGGACTCTTTCACTGGTTTTATAGTACTTGCATGGTGTACTTTTTTGCTGTATGGTGTCGTTTTCTTGCAGTACTTCATAACACTTACAGTGTTGTACCAGTATGTTAGTAGTTTGCCATTGCTTACACAGTAGCAGTATTGTAGTACTTCATAGTGCCTACAAAATAGGTGTACTACCTTGTGTTAATCGCTTGGCTTTACCGTACTTCCTTAGTGTTCTTGCAATATGTTGTACTTTTATTGTGGCACTAATACAATAGTAGTAGTATATGGAGTTTTCGTGTAGTCACAACTCACAGTGGTAACAGCTCAACCATTGTAGTTTATTTTACTGGTTTATAGTACTTTGTTGATGTACGTTATTGGTACACTTAGGGTGTAGTCATAGCATTTGCACAGTTGTAGCAGTATTTCAGTAATTCGGTATCACTTCCGCAGTAGCAACGGTATGTCAGTAGTTTCACTTTTTTTATAGTACTTCCTTGGTGTACTTCATTGTTATAGTTTTTTGGTCTAGCTTACACTACTTGGCAGTATTTCAGTAATTTGCTAGCACCTCTACAGTAGTAGCAGTATGTCAGTAGTTTCTGTTGCAGCTCAACCTTTGTACTTCATTTCTCTGGTTTCATAGTACATAATGTGGTGTACTTTATGGTGTGGTGTACGTAATGGTGTACTTTATTTAGTTTTGCTGAGGTCTTAGCACTTACATTACTTCGCAGTACTTACACAGCAGCAGCAGCGAAACCTCTGTACTTTATTTCATGGTTTTATAGTATTTCCTTGGTGTACTTCACTTAGTATAGTTTTGGTGTAGTCATAGCACTTTCAAATTGTAGCAGTACTTCAGTAATGTGGTATCATTTTCCACAATAGTAGCAGTAGTAGTTTCTGAGCTCTAACATAGTAGTGGTAGCTCAACCTTTGTACTTTATTTCACTGGTTTTATAGTACTTCCTTGGTGTACTGTATTTGGTAGAGTTTTGGTGTAGTCATTCCACTTACATAGTTGTAGCAGTATTTCAGTATTTCAATATAATTTGGCATCACGTCCACAGTATTAGCAGCTCAAGCTTTGTACTTCATTTCACTAGTTTATAGTACTTCATTTGTGTACTTTATTGGTATATTTTGGTGTAATCATAGCACTTCCATAGTTGTAGCAGTATTTCGGTAATTCTGTATCACTTCCACAGTAGTATCAGTATGTCAGTAGTTTCTTAGCACTTACACAGTAGTAGCAGCTCCAGCCCGTCACCGTGTGGGCTGTGTCTCTCATCTCCTGCAGGGCCTCTGTGCTCAGATAGCCCAGCTCGCGGAGGCAGCCATCATGGAAGACTCTGGTGCAGATCCGGCAGGGGTATAAGTCATCGGCCGTCCACACCTCGCACACGTCACACATCTCCTCACTGGAGGGCTGTGGGGAAGAGGTGAAAGAGAGAGGGGGAGTGAGAGTGACGCACGGCCAGAGGGGAGGCTGGGGAGATGAAGAGATTTGGAGGTGTATAAGGTGGGATGTTCACTCACAATGAAATAAATGTTGATCCTACATACTAGTTAATATATTATGTCTATTTTTGTTTTCAAATATTATGTCATTTTTATTCTTGTGGCAATTTCTTTGAGTTTAAGGCTACGTTTATATGATGATAGTAAGTAGAAAGTAGAGTCACGTCTTCACATTTTATTCCACGTTTAGGAAATCTGCGTGCATAGGGTGACTCAAAAGTGTGTGGAATTCGATTGGGTATGCATGTCAGGCGACTAGGTGGTGCTGCGAGAATGTATGTACGCAACGTGAGCAGATCTGGGCAGAGTTTTGCTTCTTGGGCAGTGTAGATGGAAACACTACGGTGGAGCGTATTCAACTTTTCCACTCTGGATGGTGTTTTCAGATTTGTGCATTTTTAAGCCCCAAAAATGCTGTCACCATCTAAAGGAAAGACACTTCTGATAAAATATTTTGTCGTTTATATCCGCAAGCATTCTTGTGTAAACTGACCCTAAGCTTAGTAGAGTTCTTTACTTGAGTATTATTGACCTAATGTGTTTACTGTAGTGCACAACACAATGACCAATAAAAGTGAGTGAGATATAGAAGGTTGACATTTTTAAGCTTTCTACCGTGTTATAACGTTGTTCCCTCAACATGCCTTAAGAGGTTTTAGAAGCTATCATGCATGTTTTAGTAATTTAGTGATCTCTCCGAGGCACTATTCAAACCCTGCTTACGGTTAGCTGTAAGATTCTGTCCAGTGCTCAGCCCACAAACCAACAGCATCCATGCTCCCACACGACAATTCTCCATGAATATAAAATAAAGCATGATACAAAATTATGCGATGTGCAGCACTTTATTAAGCAGAAAACATGTTGATTGTGTTGATTTAGCAAGACACAGAGCTTAATAATAAAACAAAAATGAAACTTATAAAACACGTTAATACATTGTTTAGGGTGAATATAGCTTTTTAACATGGTGGCCTAAATATGTTGTGTTAGCAGTTAATCCCCCATAGAAGTAAAATACCATTAAAATATCATTAACCATTAATTAACAGTGGGTTGATGGTTTGATGACAGTTTCAACCAAAGCATACAGTTGGAGTATCATTGGGCACTACAGCCGCAGACACCTTACCCACCATGCTTAAAGGTGCATCATGTAACTTTTCTGGTAGAGGGTCCTCCATCTGCTTGCTTTTTTCCCATATTTCCATAGAAACATAGTCTGACCTCGCAGCATTAGTATTCGTTTACTCAACGGTAGGTAGGTACTTTTTTAATTTAGCCAATCGCTGCTATTTGGTCGTGTCGTATGTAATGCGCCGCTGATGGGGCTAACTTTTCCCAAATCCCGTAGGAAGAAGAGCAATAACGTCTTTCCCTTGATAAAATTCACCAAACATTCTCTTTGTTCCGGCTTTAAATCCTAGATCTTGGGAATCGTTGCCAACACAGAATGTATGACTTCATCTACATCCATCTGTTTACTGTTGTGCTGTACCCCAAAAAAGCACTCAGTCATGACTTCACAGCTCTTCACTGGCCGGTGCATGGTCTACAACTTCCGAGCTTCTTGCAAACTGTCTAGTGTATTCCGATTCCTGACCTAGTTGTTGGAGAGAAATTAAATTGAGTGGCAACACTAGGTGGCACCAGCAGTTACAGATTGGAGAGACAACCAAATCGTACTCAGACTAAAAATTACATAATTTTGGGGAGGCAAAAAAGGTAAACAAGCAGTTACATGTCCATGGAGACAAGCAGGTATGGACCTTCCATGAGAAAAGTTACATAATGCAACTTTAAGTGTGAATGTAAGAAAGTAAAGTTCAATTTAAATCCAAGATATTCACGTTCTACCCCTTTTCTCTCCAAAAACAGCACCGTAACTACCCAAATTATAACCTACCAACTGTTACCCTATTTCGTACACTGGACTCTCTTATAAGATCAGTAGTGATTAAAATAGCAGGTTGTGAAGTTGCAACTTTTCAGAACACTGACCTTGAAGACCAACTTTATGTTATTTTCCTTCAGGGGATTACACTTTCTCCCACGCACCATTTCTAGTTAACTCCGACTGTATTTTAGGAACTGCAGCCATGAAATTAGGAACAAGATGAAAGAGCCCCGCAGACTGCCTTTGATAAACACTAACAAGAGTAACACAAAATAAGACAATGCACTTTGTGACCATGTGAAAATCCAAGGACAGTCATTGTAAAGTTGATCTGTAGTATAACTTTGTCTATGCGTTGTGATTAGATTGGGATATATGTATAAAAAAAAAAAAGTAGGATTCTGTTCAGAGTGCACATTGTAAACAACTTCAGGAACTTTAACAGTTAAGAGAAGATGAACAAAATAAAATCCTAGAATCCCATGCATTTTAGAACATGTTTGTAGAGGTATAAACAAAAGTAAAGTACAACAACATTCTTCTGTAAAAAGACAGGGATGACTATACTGAAATATTCAGCTACCTGCACGATACTGAAAAATTTGCGGGATCAGATATCGGCTTCAAGCTGATACCCTAGCTGGAAATATAAACTGATATAATTAGATTATTTATTGGTCAGCCCAAAAAGTCTCATAATGTTTGAGTTTTTGTTAACACAAAGCTGTTTGGTAGTAGCCTGTTTCATCAGTCAGTTTCACTTTGTGGAAACTGTCTGACCTCGCAGCATTAAGATTCATTCCCTCGATGGTAGGCAGGTACGTTTTTTTATTTAACCAATCGCTGCTATTTGGTCGTGACATATGTAATGTGCTGTTAACGGGTCTAAATGGTATATTAAGCTTTTCCCAAATCCCATAGGAAGAAGGGCAATAATGTTTTCCCCTTAATAAAATTCACCAAACATTCTCTTTGTTCCAGCTTCAAATCCTCAATCTCGGGAATCATTCGCCAACACAGAATGTATGGCTCTTCTCTGACTGGCTGGTGCCGGGACTCACTCTTCTGAAGTTCTTGCAAACTGTCTAGCATATTCTGATTCCTGACCTAGTCGCAGGAGAGAAATGAAACTGAGCGGAGGCATTAGGTGGCGCCAGTATGGCTAGTTCGGTAGTTACTTGATGGATAAATTGTGTGTGTTAAACATGTGTGAATGAGACAAAACACAACTCCAAGAATATATGTGATGTAAAAACAACATTATAATTTTATAGCTCAGAAAAAAGAGCAATATGAGCCCTTTGACACCACTAAAATTTGAAAAAGCTGGAGCGGGGGTGGGTATGAAAAGGTTCAGCGTGTGGTTAACCAGTCAAGCGTCTCCGAGTCATTTTTAGTGAGCTGACAGCTGAGTGCAATGGCTGGAAAGGACAGGGACAGGGGACCAGGATGCGCAGCTAAATATATCATCCCTGGGTTTGGGTGAGGAGAGAAAGGGAGCATGTTGCAGCGGGGTGTGACGTCAAAGGGTGATATAAAGCAACACCATGAGGGGGCGACGTAGATGTACCACCCCTGTCTTCCATTAAGACCTGATGAAACCAAAAATACAGATATGAAAAAATTATGTTTGCAGAAAGCAGCCGAATGTCAAGGTTAATTACATCTTGCTAAAAAGTTCTGGTTAAGGTACACTGAACTGTAGCCGTAGGAGGATCTGTCCTCTGCATTTGACCTATCCTTTAACGTCACTGGGACAACCTGTCAGGGCCTGACCTGCTCACGTCAAATTGATATGTGTGTCAATCTGAATCTGGAACAGCTCTTGGGAAATTCAGAGCGTTATGACAAATATTTGAATCTGATTAGTTGAAGTGTCTCAAAAGTGGAACAAGTTGAAAAATCTAACTTTAGTTAAATCCAGTTGAGAGAAAAATACATCTTCCCTGTCCACAAATGCACAAAGCTCTTACCGTCTGCATGTTTTTCACAAACAAAATAGTCTGTATTGATGCTAAAATAGACTGATGTTGCTTGGGTTGCTTGTCTAAAAGAAAACAAATAGTACTGCAATGATCCAACTTTTTCAGTCCAGAAACCAATACTTTACCCAATAGATACCCAATAATAACCCATACCAGTCTAGGAACAGTTAATTTATTGCTGGGTTTCAGATGACACCACAACATTCTAAAGACCATTGTTTTTAATACAGATGGGGGGCAGCTAAAATTCAAATTGTTAAATGACAGATTTTTGTTGCCCTATAAAGATTTCTTGTGTCTAGACTGTAATAGAAATGTTCAGGTTCAGCATTTGTGAATTTAGCTTTTGGATATTTCATGGTAAAGTGCAACATAATCAACAGGAAAATCTGCTCCTTGCCCCCCATTTGGGAGTAGGACATCATCGCATTCTAGAATTTGAAAACTGCCAATTACACAAGAGATCCAATTGTGTTCAGCAACTGTTATTTATCCTTCAAATCACTCCTGGAGAGTTTTGTTTGATTAAAAGTGCAAGCATTATGAGATGTTTTGGGCTAAAATCAACCTGTAGTTTTATTACATCCAATTAAAGTCCCAACCAGGGTATCAGATGAGCTAATATCGATATCATGGAACTGATACCCGGATATGTGGGAATTATGTTGGGTGCAATGCAAGGAGCAATACATGCATCCCAAATTTTGGACTTCCGGCCATCGCACATTGTGTGGTCCTTGGACGTCTTAACAGAGGAAAATGGGCTTTGTAGGTTGGCAAACTCCATAACTGCAAAAGGTAATCAGATCTGTGACTGCAAAGCTCCATTTAAACTGTTTCCCTTCCCAACAGAGTTGAAAAATAGTGAAAGGCGAAGGCGATGGGCAGTATTGATACACAGGAAGGACCAAAAAAGTAACCTTTGGCTGCCTAAGAAATCATCCCGAGTTTGCAGCGAACATGTTGTATGTGGAGCGCCAACAAAGCAAAATCTTGTTTGTTAAGTGAGAGGCACAGAAGATAATC